GTGAAAAATGTTTTATATAAAGTTTATCCTTTTATGTAAAAAAACACACAACTGATACAAGATGCTATACAAATTTTTAAAAAAACGACTCTCTAGCCTCATAGATGCAGATGTTATTTGTATCGTTATGTTATTCCTATATCCACTAAACGTCAGTGGGGAAGGATAACAGTGCTGCACAAATAACGTCTGCAAAGGAGGCTTTAAAAACTGTCAAGCAACCAGATGATCATATTCACATGTCCCCTGGTTGGTCAGTTCTGCCATATGCTAATGATGTTACGTATGAGGAGGCATTTATGGTTATTTGTTGTTCCTTGTAATTCGAAACACCGGCTTCTATGTGAAACTAACCTGAAATCATTGATAAAAGAGCAATTAGGAAAACAATGACGGATTTTAAATTTAATTTATCTGTGCCAGTAATGTTTTGTATATATTAAATGATTACTCCTCATACGTCACGCATTAGCATATGGCATGGAAAAACCGTTATAACTTCAAGAAGCTACACTCAAACTATTAAATTTTTTTCGGGCTTTTTTAACATCTTACCCCATGTAGAATCAATACTGTGAATATTGTCAGAAGGGTGAAAGGCACTTTAACAAAATACTACGCATTTGATTTTATACTCTAACAGGTTTGGCATCCCATTTTAAAATACCTTTAAAATGTATTGCTGGAATTAGAAAGGGGTTGCTAATGGTTAGCGGAAACATGCAAGAATCTAAAAATCAAAATGAGCCATAATTCGCCGATTCCTAAAACTCGAATTCTAACTCGATCCTAACTCGAATCCCGACTCGGTTGTTAGTTTGTCTCTGGATAAGGTAAGCCTTACAACTCATATTATTATGGAATAACTACCTGCTTCAGAGTTAATAATCACCTGCTTCAGAGTTCGGCGAGAAACCTTAACAAGTTTACGGCCCTTAATCTACTGTACAGTAAACATAAATAAATAATAACCCGTGTATTAACTACATTATTGGCAATAACCCCTTGACATAATGATCACCTGCTTCAGAGTCAAAAGCTTTGACAAATAAAACAGCCTTGGAAGAATACTTGAGTGTCAGGAGAAATGAAGATGTCCTTTCGCTTGTCGATCACATCTGGAATTACGAGATGGGTTATACCTTGCCTGGCGTTAGTCCTCGCGTGTACCATACACTACATCAGTGCATCAGCCAGTGACTACTATAGGGAGTTCTCGTTCTATAACAAACCCGATCATATTCTCTCCATACCATCTGGTTTGGTGAGTGCCACAGAAATGACGACCAAAGTTACCGATAAAACGGCTTGTGTCTTTGCTTGTACAAGAAGCAGGCCTAGGTGTGGATCAGTCAACTTTAAGATCCAACCTGAGAATGACGGCCTTCACATTTGTGAGCTTCTTTCTACCGACATGTACACCAAGCCCAGCTACTTGAAGCCAGCACAAGGATTCACTCATCTTAGCATTAAGGTAAGTACGACTCAATATTGCATCCCAGCACAAGGACTCACTCATTTTAGTATATATTCAAGTTGTTTTTCTCTTATGTGCAGCGGTAATTAATCTAACTACTACATTAACTGCTTCTTATAAGTCAATCGCGTATGTAAAGCCGGGGCGAGGATAATGATAATATCAGGAAAGAGCGGGGCTGATTTTTGAATTTTATATTGCCGAATAATTCATTAACATCCAGGGTTGATATATATATATATTGACTCCTATTCTTTAAAATATATGTGACGTCCTCATTCATCCTCAAAAACGAAAAGAAAAGGAAGAGAGAATTTTTCAAAACGACTAATTGTAAAACATGAAAAATCAGGGGAAAAACAAGTAAAAATTTAATAAATTCTTAACAAATATCAAGGTTTCATATCATAAGTTAAACGAACTTTTTGCCATGAACTAGAAGGTTATTTATAGAGGAAATTACATGGGTGCGCGGAGATACGAATTTTATCTTCGAGTGTTGAGAATATTCAACACGAGAAGATAAAATGTATATCTCAAAGCGCCCATGTAATGTTCTGTTTATCAATATAGATATCGATGAAAGTTCCAATACAAACATATAAACTTGAACTATTCATTATTAATCGAACATCGTGAACATGTTCATACTATGAACAGAATTTGAAATCTTAAAGATATATAACACATACATACATACATACTTTATTGAACACATCCCCAAGGGGGCTTTTCAGCGCCAATTACAATATACAATTGATTAGCAATATAAAATCTAAGTTAAATATGTATATGTGTATATTAAAGAAAACTAAAACTAAAAGTAAAGTATAAAATGATCAAATGTTCAGTAAATGAAATATATTAACCTAGATAAAAATTTAAATTGAAAAACTTGATCATGAATTCCTAAATCTACGAAGAAGATTCGCTGTTAACTTACTCTTAAAACTACATCCTTAATTTAATTGATTGGTCTAGCTTATGGCATAGCGTAACTGCTCTATAATAAAATGTTCTCTGTCCAGCGCTTGATTTAAATAGAGGAATGTTTAACAGCTGGCAATTTCTAGTGATTTCGCTTACTTACGTCATTACGTGTTAAAAACTGGTTGTTGAGATATTTAGGGGCCAATCCAGAAATACATTTAAAAACTAAAATTGCGTCTCTATAATATAATTGGTCAACAACTGGTAGCCAATTTAAAGTCTTAAGGACAGGTGTAATATGATCATACTTCCGTTTATTGGAAACAACACTGGCGGCTAAATTCTGAACAGACTGTAATTTGTTTTGATTCTTTTTCGGATAGACCATACCGAACTGCAATTAATCAACTTAAGAGATTTTTGATCAAAAGCGTGCTTGCCTCTGTTTATCTGACAGAGGCACGAAATACAGGGCCGGGTTGTTCAAAGCCGCACTAACGCTAATCCAGGATTAACTCTATAGGTCTTATTAAGAGTTAACCCAGGATTAGCACTAATCGGGCTTTGAACTGGGCCCTGCAGGAGGACACAGTGTTAACAGTATGTTGATCATAAGACAGTTAAGGATCCAGGATCACACCAAGATCTCTCATGGATTTACTAGGAGTCAGTTCCTTATCAAAAAGCGATAAATTAAAGTTCTGAAGTTAGGACAACATCTGTCTGGTTCCAAAGATCATTAGTTAACTTAGTCTTGTCTGGATTAATTAAGTTGTCAAAGCACCAGTCCCTTATAGAAAGTAAATCTTCTTGCAAATTCGTCAATGCAGTGTCCTTTTTTGTGGTAGAGAAAGATAAATATAACTTTGTATTGTCGACGTAAGAGTCAACAGAGCAGTTCTTTATTGACGAAGGTAGAACGTTGACGTAGATATTGAACAGCATTGGTCCAAGGATGGACCCCTGTGGTACACCATAAAGAACTGGCAGAGGATCTGATATGCTTGAATTTATGCGCACCATTTGATATCTTGAGGAAAGATAACTCTGGAACCAAGAAATTGCCTGACTAGATAAGCCAACATTTTTTAATGAGCAGAGATTGGTTCAGACGATCAAAGGCTTTACTCATGTCCAAGAAAAGGGAGGCTGTAAGCTGCTTTTTTATATAATCGTTAGAATGGATTACGTTTCAGTGGAATGATTTTGTTTATTCCCACTTTGCATAACAGATAGTCGATTTCTCTTATATAATTAAACTTAAGCCTATTATTTCTTTAATGAAGACTCGGATCTATGCTCGGATCAAACAGTTCAATGATACAACAGTTTCTTGAAAAATCACTGTCTTGAGTTAGCCTTGCTAAATACGAACAAGAAAAATACGTAAGAGAATTTTAGAATTCACAATCTTTAAAAATAGATTTACCGTAATTATTGAAAAATGGCGTTCAAAACTCGACAAAACACCACAAGATGAGGACAGTTCGTAGTCTTTCCCCGTCTTTGTTCTTGCATTTCATAAAATGAAGAAAACAGGCAATTTATGATCAAAATTCTCGTTTGCATTTTTGACATTTTTGATTTGAGGATTGAAAGAAACCGTGAAGGCCTAAATGTGATTGGTTGATAAGAACGTAGTTATGGCAACGGAGATATGATATCTTCACTGAGTAGAATGTACGATATTTTAGAAAACCTTATAAGTCCTGATATTTCATCGGTATCTAAATAATAAAATATTCATAACCTTAGGGGTGGATCCAGGAATTGGTTAGGGGGTGTCCCAAGTAGGTCTCTTGAAAGATGACGTCACATCCAAGATGGTGGCTTCCTAACAATAAGCCCTTTGCAGCTAAGCAATCACGTGCTGATTAATTCAATGAGAGCAAATGAATGAACATCTTGATTCCCATGGGTGAACATACTGGTGAGCAAACAAACTTTCTACAACCTGTTTCGAGAGATCGTAATAAAACTACATTTCGTAACACACTGGTTACACATGTTTTCATTCAGTTCTTTACAAGTAGCTAAAAAGAATAACCAATTTAATATAAAAACAAAAATTTTGCATTCCAGTACAGACACGTGACACGTGACCTATTGGATTTGATTACGTTAGAGTAAGAGTATGTCCGACGTATGTAAGAGTATGACACCCCCTGGATCCACCCATGAATCTAAATTAAGCAGCTTATGGATACACATCTGATTCGCACGCGAAACCGGTATATATTCAAAATGTTTTTACGATTTACTCAAAATTGGACGGTTATAGTTTTCTAGTTTTAAGGTGTTTTGTTTGCCAATTACCGCCATAGTTTACTTAACAGAAAGGCTTCGATTTTCCTAAGTAACGTTGTAATTGCTGACAATTTTAGTTTAAATTTAATCTAATTTATAAGTATTTTACATTATCATAGCCTCCAATCTAAGTAAAAGATTTTTTTGTGAATTTTATAATTATCCAACTATTGTAAGTGATTCAAAAAAATGTTCAGTACGGTTGCTTGAAAACTCCATTTATCTTTGTAGAGCAAGTGCGAGCCGGATGCATGTCAGAACAATGGATTGTGTTGCCCTGACTACAACAATGACGAATATCATTGCGTATGTAATGCAACAAAAGGAAAAGACTGCGAAATATGTGAGTATAGTAAATTGACTGAACAGTACATACGAACGTTGCCTTCAAAGAATTCCTATATTTTACTAAATAATCATTGTAATTTAGTTTACAGTGATTGCTCAGAGCTCCGTTCAGCTGGTTACACTGCAGATGGAGTCTATCAAATCGATCCTGATGGAAAAGGCTCCTTCCCAGTCTACTGCGACATGACAACAGATGGCGGAGGGTGGACTGTGTTCCAAAGACTCGACAACAAATTGGTGAGCTTTAACCATGGGTGGCAAGACTACAAAACCGGTTTTGGTAACCTAAATGGTGAGTCTTGGCTGGGCCTTGAGAAGATCTACCGACTGACCAAAAGACAAGTTACAAAACTGCGCATTGATCTGGAGGCTCCAACAGGGAACAAGGGATATGCTGTGTATTCTTCGTTCTCTATATCCGACGAGACTGATTTTTATCGCCTGAGTGCGAGCGGATACTCAGGTACTGCTGGAGATTCCCTTACGACTTCTTCAAATTCAGCTTGGATCGCCAACAACATGAGGTTTACCACATTTGATAGGGATAACGATGCATGTTCATGTAATTGTGCTCAGCAAAGAGGTGATGGTTGGTGGTACAAATGGTGTAGTATCTCGAACCTTAATGGGAAGGTTTGGTCTACCTTCGGTCAAATCTTCAGGACCGAAATGAAGCTGAAATAATAACGTAAGAACAAAATTCACTCCCTTTTGTAGGACTGATTTGTGATTAAATCTCATGCCCATCGTTCTATAAAAGAAATGTTATTTAGGGACGTGGTCTGATCATACACCTTGTGATTAGGTTTGTTTTTGTTGTTGCTGTTTTGTTATTGCTGTTAAAAGTAAATGTCTTGGTGGCGTCATATGAGAAAAAGATTGAAAAACGCTGAGAAACCGGGTTTTAGGGGGGCTGAACCGGCCAGTGCCCACCTCCCCAAAGATTTTCAGCTTTCGCCGCCCCTGGTTTTGTATATGAGGGACTCCGCATATACAACGATCTTTACTTTTATATAAAATATTTTTTCTTTTTTCTTTTAGGGGATGACCTACATTCTTCAGGATGTGTTTGCAGTATAAAACTCTCCTACTCCAAAGATTTGAATTGATTGAATTTGAATTCAAGTAAGAGATAATGTAGAGACATTTCTGAATCAAATGAAATCCAGACCTCACTACCATTACCAAAATTTTTATAAGCACAAGAATCAATCATAGGCACCATATAATAATCTATAGCCATCTTTGCGAAAGCACTGATCAAAGCAGGATGTATACTGAAGCATGGACTATAAGCCAGTTCGTAGTTTAAAGTGCTTATAAGCCTTTGCACAATGTTTTCAGAATTGATTCTTTAGATAGTGGATAGTTGATTGTGAAAATATTTTGTCATTTGAATGTTGGGTCTTTAAGATACGAAGGTTTACATTCCCAATATGTTAATGACTATGACGTAACATAAGGGATCATTTAATATACAAAACTGCACTCATTCTTTAATACAGTATTTTAAAAGCATCACCCTTTTACTCGTGACTCACGTAAAGGTTCTTACAAATTTGTTTTCAAAAAATGTCCGGCGTTCAATATTAAAAATTGCCACAAAATAACACAAATCCCTTATTTTACGTCATATTCATTAACATATTGGAAATATAAACTTTCGTATCTCAAAGACCCAACATTCAAATGACGAATTTTTTTCACAATCAAATATTCACTATTTAAAGAATCAATTCTGAAAATATTGTGTAAAGGCTTATAAGCACTTTAAGGTGGTTCACTACTTTTTGGTAAATAATAAACAGAAAATTGAAAATTGATTTTTTTTGAAATTTAATGCTGATTTTAAAAATGCAAAGAAAAATGGGCTGTCCCGAGCTTGTTTTTTGAGATAATCACTCCGGAATGACATGCGTTTGTACAATTTTGGAAGAAAATAGCGAAAATTTATTGGTAATTACTGGCGTGAGTGGAGTGTCCGGCGCACCGCAGGACACAGGACACCCCCTAGATCCTCTCTATGATAAACTAGAAGTCTGGGCAGTAAAAATATTAACAATACCAGACTGCGAGAAGTCGTCCCTGTATTTCTGTTGGTCGCTTTTCGTTTGCCTTGGTTACTTTGGCCAAGTGAAGATAAGTCTTATAGCTGGCTAGTCCAATATCTCCGGGGGAGACGTCTGGGCAGTAAAAATATTAACAATACCAGACTGCGAAAAGTCGTCCCTGTATTTCTGTTAGTCGCTATGTGTTGTTTGTCTTGGTTACTTGGGACCAGTGAAGATAAGTCTTATAACTGGCTAGTCTAATATCTCCGGGGGAGACGTCTTGGCGGTAAAGGACATTCTAAGTAATATTTACACTAAGGCTGCGTTCATAATGTATGGCAGAGGGGGGAGCAGGTGAAATTTAGGGGGGATCGGGGAAAATTCTTACCAGTAAAATGAAGGGGTTTGAAACATTTTTTCAGAGATTTTTTTCTGCCATACATTATGAACACAGCCTAACTTAAGTAATTATTTCACGGTTAAATAAAAGCACTCTAATAATGGTCGTAAATAATACCAAAATACACTTTTGCAATGCCGTGCTAGCCCTATTATATTAGGTAATGGTTTCATAAAAGACTTCTATGTCATTGGGAGAAAAATTGTCGTTGCCGGCCATAAAAGAAGTGCATGTTCCTCTGCTACTACATATTTGGTGAGTACGGTATGTGTTGCCCAAGCTGGTAAGTGAGTCATTGTAACTTGAAGCAAAGTCCGAGATAAACAGGTCATTTCCCCCACCAAATACTGGACCATAGCCAGCGCCGTTATATATCGCTTTGCCATCATTTTGTCCATTGAGGGTCAGGTTGACTGGACTATATCCATAGATGTTCCTCAGGGAGTACAGGAAGGATTTGGAAGACGAAGTATAGCCGCCGCTACCTTCATGAAAACGAAAAATATAGCTGTTAGTAATCGTCAGTAAGTAATTACGAAATCTTTTCCATTAAAAACAAATTACGGGTTGTTTTCTTTTTTTTTCCCATTTTACTAACACCAGCCAGAAGTCCTTTGCACACTTTTTTTGTCTATTTGTTTTTTCTATTTGGCTTTCTAATTGTCTGTTCTTTCGTTCTTTCTTTCTTTCTTCCTTTCTTTCCCTCTTTGAAAACAATTAGAATGGGACAACTTAACCTTGAGTAGAGAAAAACGCCTAAGCCTATTAATGTTCGATGTAATTTTAAATCATAAAGCTCCCAAATATCTTCGCGACCTTTTCGTTATTAGTTCGGAAAATAACCCTTACAAATCTCGTCTCAGGGATAATTCTCTAAAATAAGATTTTAACAAAGTCCCAAAGACTTAATATTGTAGGGGTTCTTTTTCTTATAGAGGGGCAAAAAATTGGAATTCCTTACCTTTAGCCTTATAAGATCTTCAACCTCTAAAACTGTATTCAAGAAGAACCTATCGGCTATCGGCTTGTCGTTTGACTCTTCATGAACTGTTTATCTGGTATTAACTTTTTAAACTTATTATCAAAATTTTTAGCTTTAATTTATATTTCTTATGAGACTATTATTGATGAAGTTAGTAGCATGGACAGTAGTTTGCTTCTGTTTATATACGGCTTTCACGCAAAGAAGTTGCAAAACGTATGGAATTACCGTATTTAGATAAAAGTGAATCAATCAATCAATCAATCAATCAATCAATCTTTCTTTTTTCTTTTTTTTTTTCCCCCATCTAATTACAAAATATGTCAAGAATCAACAACACTGAACCATGTGATTCATTCGATTAGTTTCGTAAATTTGGCCGTCTTAACAGCCTGCAGTTCAGCATGCAGTACACTCTATGTTATGGTTTAACCATTTTTTCCCTTTGTACTGCAAAAAGAAGACTTAAAAGAACTTTTTAAAAATTATCAACTCCCCTTTTTACTGAAATACCCGTATCCGCCCTTGTATACCTTTCGAATAACTCCGGTAGTGATAGGAAAATGGTGCCGAAATCATGCAAGCGGAATAATCATCAATAATTCTTTTTTTGCTTAACGTCCCATGATACACCGGTGTATCCACCAAACACGTAGCTACCTACACGTACTATAGTCACTGTGTGTCCCTTTACTACTTACTTTGACATGATACATCGGTGCATCCACCAAACACGTAGCTACCTACACGTACTATAGTCACTGTGGGTCCCTTTACTA